GGCCAAATCCTGGATTGGTTTATCTGGCTGGAAGGTCACCCTCTGTCCCTTTTCTTCCAGGACTCTCACTCTGTTAACCGCTGTCTTGTTCTACCATTCAAAGGGTGCCTCCATTGCTTGGAGGGTATTTAGTTTTGTGATAGTGTGGTATTCGATCAGGATCATTTGGGGGCAGACCATGTGGATCAATCCAATCAGGTGTGGGGTCTCTGCGGTCGTCACCCAGTCACCCTCTATCAAATTGGGCCCTCTCCTGAGGATCCGGTACCATTCCAGCGGGATGGCTTCAATGAGGTTTTCCAAGGACTCCTCGCCCCGATGCCAATACCATAAGATGCCCGCATCTGGTCCCCCGTCTTCCATGTTTGTTTGTCATTGTCCCAGGGATCCCCAACCCTAAGAATATCATGTTTGACCCAGTTTTTCCATGGCGGGGCTGAACTTATCCTCACACGGCCCTCCGTATCTGTTATTCATCTGTTGCCAAAGAGGGGTTGACAGTATACTTCCTCCCACCAGCCAAGTAGGGTCCTGTCTGGAAGCGGGAGACTACGCCATGTTTGCAGCAGGGATGGCCAAAAGTTGTCCAGTGGTTGACCCCCTCCTTCTTTTGCTCCCTCCCTTCCGTCCGGGAGTCCACATGTCCTGCTCTTCCCCTTCGTCCTCTTCCCCTTCTTTTTTCCTCTTCTCCTTCTTCTCCCTCCCCTTCTTCTTCTTCTTCTTCTTCTTCTTTCCCTTGGCATCCCCTTCTCCCCTTTCCCTCCGGTTCGTGTTGGATGCTTGTTCGCGGATTTTATGGATGGTTTGTCCGTAGCACTTATCGTTGGATATTTTTTGATATTGCATGTACTACCTTCTTCCCCCGAATACAACGTACGGTCCTTATAGCTGTATTCGAGGCATCTTTCAATCTAGATACAGATATATTGACCGTATGTTGTATTGGGGGGAAAAAGGTAGCCGGAATAACTGCGAATAGTTCCGTGGGTTTTCTATGCTCTCGATTTCTGGCTTTGTGTATTGTGCGTCTTTGCTGAAATCTCATTTGGAACACTCCTTAATGTGTTATTGCGAATTGCAAAGGGGAGGATATTCCCCGTACCAGACAAAGGAATGGATCTAGAGATTACTCGTACTAACTTGCATCACTCCCTGAGCTCACTCTTCAGTTCAGTTCGCTCTGTAACCGAGCCATGCAATCTTCGTCACTAGTGCTCTCCCAACAGACATTCCAACACCTTGTGAAGAAGCAAGCACCTGAGTGAGGCAAGTGCAAGCTTAGGACAATTCTCAATGTAATAGACCCGAACAAACGCAGATGACAGCAGAGCAAGGCAGAAACAGTGAGGCAACACATAGGCTGGGGGGCACGCGGCACAAACACACAAGGCAAAGGAGACATAACGAAGAGCAGACAATAGAACTACCAAAAACAGACAAGCATCGGACCTGCACCAGCTTGTCAGGAGGCTGAGCCCTCAGTGATCTGCAGAATCCCATATTGAAGCATTGAATCATGGACTCATTTGACTTCTGTTGAAAGTGGACTGCAGGCAGGCAACACCACGAATGGACTTGAAAGACTTGAAACCATGAACAATGCAGCTTGAGGTTTACATCTCACAATACAACCACATTGTATCGAGTACGGGTATAACCCGCACACAGACCTTCTCCTCATACTGCTTAGTCTGATCGAAGCGTCGCTCCGTGTTCCTATTTTATACTACGAAAACTGGCCTCGAGTACTGTTCCTTTCGGGACAGGTACCGGACCAGTTCCAAAAACCATAATAATATATATATATATATATTTTTTTTAAAAAAGGAAAACTTTTACGCAAGCCAAAAAGACAAATGAACAGCTAGAGAACTAAGAAACGTGTAGACGTCATGCCTGGTCACTTGGTATGAGATCCGTAGAGTTCAACGTAGTACGATATCCTGCTGAGATTACTTGCGCACCTCTGGTTCAGTCGAATACGCCAAGAGACTTACAGGTACAGGTTGTACCTGACCCCGATTTTAGTCGGATTCCAAGTATGATAACCTCTTGATGCACCTCCGGCTCGACCGAATACGCCGAGAGATTCAAATACAGGTCGTACCTGGCCCCGGTTTTGGTCGGATTAATTGGTGTCTCACCACGTTCTTGCATACTTCAAAGTTTCCTATAGAGATTACTTGCACACCTCCGGCTCGGCCGGATACACCGAGAAGCTTCCGGGCACGGGCCGTTCCTGGTCCTAATTATAGTCAGATTCACTAGTGTATCCCACGTTCCTGTGGATTTCAAATATTTCGGAAAATTTTCAGAGGAGTCTCTGCAACACGGGTCGAACCTCTGAGTCGTCGTAGCCTGCTTGCCACTTAAGTTTGTCTTATGCCAACGTGTCTCTTCGGTCGACGAAGAGTTATGTCCAGCCGTTATAGCATCCGACGATTTTCTCACTCATTATGGGTCATATCCCTCCTAACTTCGCGGCGGCTTTCCTCAAAGCTGTAAGAAACACTTTTGTCAGAAAATCCCCCCATTTTAATTCCCTGTGCAATGTCACCAACCCAAGAGTTAGCAGAGCTTCATCACTTGTATTGGCGTTAATGCGAAAAATGGTCCCGATAATATTAGCCACTTTCTGTTCCATTGCCCCAAAAGACAAGAAGTGCCAAGTTACCATATATTTTGGCCTCCTAGGGTCCTCCTAGATACTATCCATATTCTTGAATTTATGCATGGATACAACGACAGTCGAATCGTTCACTGAAAAAAGTTTAGTCTCCAAAAATTCCACAATATTATTTCCAGTGTTGGTCCTCTCGAGCCTCAATTCCGGTTGGTAGTAAGATACGATCTTATCCATGATCTAGATAATCCGTGTGTCGTCCCCATGGTGGTACAGTCCAATCAGTAGGAGATCATCTACATACCTTTTACCAAAGAGGGAACATGAATCACGTCCCAGGCTCAAAAACTTTTCCTCGGCGTATATACATACAAGGCACGCCAGAGGAGGGCTAGTCAGACCCCCCATCGAAATGCCTTTGTTTTGTTTTAGTATCTCACCTGTTGATTTAAAATATACATTATCGAGAGCGAAATCCACCAATTTTTTTAGATCCGGCAACCGTACTGATTTCCATCCTCCTTCTCCAGCTGATTTTCTTAGCACAACTCTTTTTCCTCTTATCTTTGCACGGACCCAATATCTGTCTTTGCTCCTTATCTCACTGAAGATCTAAGACACAGCGTCTCGGATCTCTGCGTGTGGGATTTTGGAGAACATTTCCTTTATATCATAGTTGTCTTTACTCATTATGAACGAGTTCTGCAGTTTGCCTTTTCCATCTCATTTCACGATCCTTTCAAGTTTCAACTCTTTGTACTGTTTCCGCATACTCCTAAGCACATCGGTTTCAGATTTTTTAATTCTTTCGAAATCAGTGTTATCGTTGAAGGTTTTCCTCATTCCAGCATGATATGAAACCGGGCCTTCAACCAGTGTAGCACCCAGATTCCTATGTAATGGTGATAGTACGAGACCATCCAGGGCCGCTTTTACTCCTTTGACATACTCGCAGAGGACCGTTCGAGCAGGTTTTGCAGGTCTGACCCTCCCGAGTTTCAGAGGAGAAACCCGAAAAACGTCCTTGACCCCAGCTTTCTCTATAACTTTGAGCGTTGTTTGACAGTTGCGATTGATCTCTTCGATGTACGCCATTCTCCCAGGGTATGGTACGTTTCGTGAGTTATGCAAAAAGGAATGGATCTCAGGAATCTCGTTGAGTCTCACCTGAACATGCCCGTTCGGTTTGGGCAGTTGAAACCTCTCGCATATGCAAACCGGTGAGTCATCGGTTGCGCATGCCTCGTGGTTATGTAGAAGATCAGCTACGGACTTGGTTTTTGTACAGACCGTCCTGAGCTTCTTCCGTACAAGGTTAGACTGCTCTTGAGATGCAATCCTACTTTTGATCCATTCACACACTTCCTTTCTGACCGTGTTTTTGTTAACACATGGGCTAAAAAGAATCTCAATCACAATCTGTAGCCTTCGGTTATATCCGAGTTTTTTCTTTAACTCAGTCGAAATCAAACCACGAATAATTTGGCGTCCTCTTTTATTATTAATACATTTCAATCCTCGCGGCATCTTAATGAGATCATCCGGATCTTTCTGGTAAAAAACACTTCTCCTTTTCCACGGTGCTCTTAGGAGGGAGAACAACTCTGCTTTCCTCCTATCTGCCTCAGTTTCGGTCCGAATCAGGCAAGTTTGTTCAAACGTCCCTCCATCCTCAAAAACAGACTTCATATCCCTCAGCAACATGCACGATCCCTCAAATTTGAACTTAGATTCCCCGTAGGCCAATCTGATCACTCGCCAAGGAGTGACCCATCTGGATCCTCCAGAGCACTTGATCGATCCAGGTCTCGCTATACCCTTCAATGATTTTAGTATATCAAGCAAATTAGTGGTCCGACGAAAATTCACACACGCAAAGGTGAGTGGTTCCCATTTCTTACCACCCTTTTTATTCTTTGACTTCACCCTTGCTCTTCTTGGTCTAGTCCTTGGTTTATTCTTTCTGCAATTAAGACATGGGTTTTCATAGTTAATAATTTTAGTCTCTATATTCCGGAGATCGTTTTTATCGCAAAAAAATAACGGAATAGTTGTATATTTCCAAAAACCGAATTTACTCAACCATTTGTGAACTTTGAAGATCCGGTCCACTGCAGAGGCACGCGTGTGTTCTCGCCATCTACATCATGCCAGTGTCCTACATGTCTGCCCGATATATGTCTTCTTGCAGAACGGCAAGGCTAGCAGATACACACATGAGGTGCATTGCTTTGGTTCTACTAGAACATTCGGATCGATACGCGTTAGGTACTTCAAAAAAGTGGCGCCCCATGTCACGCGTCCGAGGATAAATGAGAGGATAGTTCCCAGTCTGAACGCTCCTTCTAAGTCATCCCTTAACCCTTCTTGTTCGTTCCCGATAGCGTTGCTAATCCGGATCAGAAGACGCCTGAGGCCTCTCTGGGAAATCTAATTCCCAGGAACACCTCCATCGTCGTCTTCTTCTTCAGAATCTTCCTCGCCACCTTCTTCTTTGACATCCGTTTCATGCTCGTCTTCTCCATTTACAAGTCTGGTGAACTCGTCAGTGTCTTGTTTCGCGAGCTCCCATGCGCTCTTGTCTTTCCGTTCCCATTTCACTCCCCTCGCCAGGCAGAGGCTCTTGATCTTCTTCCCATTCATCTCCATATAGTGATCGAGCCTCTGTCTCATGCATTCAACGATCCCGACCTCCGTCTTATCGCTCTTCGTGCAGCTACCCCGGTTCAACTTCAGTTTGCCCTTCTCTTCATCTTCGGATTCGTCGCTGTCGTCCTCCTCCTTATCCGCGTTCGCGTTGGTCTTCGTGTTCTCCACGATCTCCATAGCAGGGCCGCTTTGCCCCCCTTGTACTTTCCCAGCTATCATTGATAGCATTTTCATAACGTCTTCCGAATTCACATTGGGCTTGTCCTCCGGAACACCCTTGTGGACTCCCGTCTTCTTATCCTCCTCGTTTGAGGACACTTCGATCTGAGGTTGGCGAATCTTGATTCCACCGCTCCTAGACCTTGATCTCGATTTTTGCCGGTCTTGTGCTGGCAAATTCAATCCCATTACTCTCTTCCTCTTCTCATTACTCCTTCGCTCATTACGCCTTTCGATTCCAATTCTTCAACCTTCTTGGCTATCTTCGCGCGCTCGGCTTCCGCTGCTTTGGACATTTTGTCGACTGAATCGAGCTTCTCGGATATCTTCAGAGGCTGAACCCTCGGTGATCTGCAGAATCCCCATATTGAAGCATTGAATTGTGGACTCATTTGACTTCTGTTGAAAGTGGGCTGCAGGCAGGCAACACCACGAATGGAGCGTGGCAGCAAGGCAACAACTCAGCGAAGCACCAGGCAATGCTAACGGGGCAGCCCAACAACATTATAATGCCACTGTGAAAGCTACCTGCATGGAACGACGCGGCAAGCGGACAGGCAGCTAGGGAACAACAAAGCAACACGGAAGGCAGCGCTGGCACAACAGCCAAACTACAAAGCATACAAGCAAACTGCACGGGGAGACGACACAGAGATCAGCACCAAGGCAGCAAGGCAGCACAGCGCAAAGCAATACCAACACAGCAACCAAACCACACCACAAACAGTAAAGCTGCAGGGAAGGCATGGTAATCTGGTGAAAAGCAAGGCATATACAGCAGTTTGCACATCCAACATAGATTACAGCAATCCGGCACCTACTCACACCACAAAAAGAACCCCGCAGACTGATGGTTCCCACCACCTGCTGGGCCAGGAAGCCACTCCCACAGACGTGTATAATCACCCATAGACCATATGCATCACGGACGTCACAAACACAGCGGCCCCCAACTAGTCCTGCGGGCACTTCAAACAACCCACACCGACTATTTAGCACTCCTTGGGGGTGCTCAATTAGGCACCCAGAAAGTACTTCAAAAAAATACTAAGAAAAACAGGACAAAAGGCATGCATACTATGCATAGAACTATGTGTGGGTGAGAGAGAGAGAGAGAGAGAGAGAGAGAGAGGGAGAGAGATAGATAGATAGATAGATAGATAGATAGATAGATAGAGAGAGAGAGAGAGAGAGAGAGAGAGAGAGAGAGAGAGAGAGAGCAACATGCACACGCATGCTGTATGGTAGGTGTGTCAGCGCTCATGAGTGTGCGCCATGTGTGTGTTCATCGGCAGGGTCGATGGGTCATTTCTCCATCTCATTCACAGGCCCAGAAACCGAAAAAGAAACATAAGAAACAAGTACGGACGCGGCAAGTTCAAAGTTCACAAATACAACACGCCCGCGAAGGAAACAGCTGCTGAGTTTGAAACTGCAAATCGCTGGGTCATTTCTCCATCTCATTCACAGGCCCAGAAACCGAAAAAGAAACATAAGAAACAAGTACGGATGCGGCAAGTTTTGACTTCGCAAATACAACACGCCCGCGAAGGAAACAGCTGCTGAGTTTGAAACTGCAAATCGCGTAGAAAAGGATCCATCGGGCCCTTTTTTCTTTTTTTTCTTTCCCCGTCTGACACCACGACCGACGCCTGTAGTTATGACACCCCTCCTGACACCACGACTGCAGTACTTTCATCACATTTCCAACTGGGGTGTTGCTTTCTTTGCAGGTGCACAATTTTTCGCACATTAGGAACTCAAATTTGACGTAAAAGAAATTCCCCAAAACATAAACTTAAACCACCAGTACTTGGCCCAGCTATTGACGCCGAGCTGGAAAACGCCCTGCGCGCCAAGTTTTGCCGACCCGCCTCCGCGTCGTTTCGGTTTCCTTTGGCTGGCGTCAGTTCGGTTTCCTTTTGGCTGGCGCGCCCAGGCATTGTGGTCAGGTAGCCCCCGAAGCCCATCAGTCGCGGGCGTTACCGGGAAACACCCGCGGCCAATGTATGGGCCAAGTACTGGTGGTTTAAGTAGAAAAGGGGCCCAAAACAAAAAGCTTACCAAACTGCACGGCTGAAAAAAATAGAACAGACCTGGGTTCTGTGCTTCCAAAACTCAGCACTCAATCTGCTAACTGCTTTGCCACTCAGAACTTGTTTCAGAACTGAAACGCAGTTGCCCGCTGCCATTCCCCCCTTCCCCCCCCCCCCCCCCCCTCCCCAAGAAAAGGAGAACTTCAAGATTGATTGATTGGGCCCACTGCAGCTCCTTTCCAAGTGTATCTTATTCAGTCAACTCGAAGCTTATCAGTTAATGACATTGTCAAGGGCATCAAGTAGATTCTTTCATCCTTAGAAAAATTGAGCTACCGTCTTCACCCGAATAGAACACTCGGTATTTGTGGCTGCATTTGGCCCAACTTTCAGTCCAAATGCAGCGATATTGACTGGGCGTTCTATTCAGCTGAAGACGGTAGTGATGAGAAAACTCAGGCGGCTGAAAAAAGCCCACTGGGCTCAGGAACCAAGGCTGGGGCTCAGTAGGGACGGCCATTCTTTTTTTTTTTTTTTTTGAGAGTCTGCTAGGTGTGGTGATAAGAACAGTCACTCCTAGGAGTCCTAGCCTCTCAACTAGTGACTCCATTCAGTTGGTGGGGGAGTAGCACCTGCTGGAAACCAGGTCCAGCGTCCATGATACAGAAGAGAAAAACAATGATACCATGATCCCGTTTGTTGGTTGTGTACAGCCTCTTCAGTCCACCGCACACCGTCAGATAAACCATCATACCCAACTGCACAGTCAATTGTTGTCCTCTCCATCCCTCCCTATTTATTCCATACCATCGTAAATCCACCAAAGCAAGTTCAGAAGGAGGAATGATGGCCCTATGTCTAAATATGGTGTGGTCGCGCGAACCTACGATATAAAAGAAATGTTTACCCAACTTCCACATGAGATTATTTATCGGGCACTCCAATGGATTATTGAGTGGTTTGTTCATAAAGGTGTGCGGTGGATCCGACTGAGTACTCGAAAAAAGTTGACAACGTTCAGGAAATCTCACGGAGAAGTTGGTTGGAAATCCTTCCGGCTTACTACTCTGATCTCCCTAACCCGGTTCCAACTAAAACACATTGTGTTTTTAGTCTCTGATGCTATTCTACGCCAGAAGAAAGGTATCCCAATGGGAGGGAGAGCCAGTCCCTCGCTTGCATGTGTGATGTGTATGTACTCTGAGTATAACTTCATCACATCACTTGGCACCGATGCAAAATTCATAACTGGGAAAAAATACATAGATGATCTATTACTCTTTTCCTTTTTTGATAAAAATAACCCAACAGGGTACACCAGAGCTAATGACCGCCTGGATAATATTAAACAGTGTTATCCCAAGGAAATCAGTTTGGAAAGGACCGACACAGGAATTAAAATTCTTGATTTTTTGGAAACAAGGATAGTCATCTCCGAAGTTGAAAAAATAGTTGTTGTCGCTCACAAATTTAAGAACCGCGAATCAATATGGGGACCCGGGGACTTGTGTTTTCAGACTTACAAGAACCCAACTTCATTTGGGCCTAAAACGACCAAATTTGCCACTATAGCAAATATTATTCTTCGTATCGTTGAGAACTGCAATGATAGGGGCACCATCTGCCTTGGTGTTCTCACATTGGCAGTTGAAATCAAGAACTTGGGTACCCAGCAATATTATCTTAGCTGGTCTCAGATGGATGCAACGACGAGAGTGTGACAACCCCTTCTGGAGCCAGATCCAGGAGATCGTCAAGTATGTAGTTTCGGATGTACCCCCATGACTTAGGCCACGCATAAGGAGGCCTGTTTTTCTGTCTTAGCATTGAGAAGGAGAATGAGGCTTACACGTTTCCTCGATCTCAGCAACTCGTTTTTTCAAAACCGCAGACTTTTTTGGGCCTCAGGAAGTATATTACGGACTGTACCTACCCGACTGTACAACTTTATGCATGGTTTTGAAGCACCTAGTAACAGGACTGCTGGCCGCACTGGCAACACTCTATTTACGAATGTTTTTTGGAAGTTTGTCGCCAGTATATCAACACTGTACAATTGAGTATCCAAGCCGCTGAGTCGAATGGCAAATTTGCCTGAATGTACGTACCTCACTATTTGGTTCCAATTCGGCGGAACCAAGGACTCTTGATTCGGATCAGATGATCTACGGCTATTCACGGACGAACTCCTTCAGGTAACGACATTACGGCGCCTTTCTACTAGGCACGAAGGACCCGATGGATACTCGGCGGATGTTTTTTTGGAAGTTTGTCTCCAGTATGTACAATTGAGTATCCAAGCCGCCCAGTCGAATCGCAAAAATTTGCCTGAATGTACGTACCTCACTATCTGGTTCCAATTTGGCGGAACCAAGGACTCTTGATTTGGATCAGATGATCTACGGCTATTTATGGACGAACTCCTTCAAGTAATTCTCAAGTAAACTCGTTTTTCGGTACGACGCCTTTCTACTAGGTACGAAGGACCCGATGGATACACGACGGATAAGCGGACCGGGTCCCTCGACTGTGGAGGTTTTCCATAAGCATCCGGACTGGTTTTTTGGCAGCATACATTCATTGCATAATCTTTTTGTTATTTCGTTTTTTCCGCTGTGGATTTTTGCATACTCGACCGAGAGTCGAGCAGGTAGGTATTAAAATATTTAAGTAGAGTTGAGTACTAGGAATCCTCAATCTGAGTGGTGTATTGAGTGGAAGGATTGAGTTTCCGTAACTTTTGGTTATGGAACGGGGGAGGGGAAGGTGTTGTACGCCATGATATTAAAGGTCAAGGCATCTTCTTCTAAATTTTGGGTCCATTATGTATAATCTTCTTCTCATGGACATGAGCCTCAGCATCGACCTTGTCGCAGCTTGGGAACGATGCTGAGGTGCAGTCTTCATTGAGCATACTATGTGATGTCATCGAGCATACTCTGTGAAGTCGTGCTTCCGTTTTGCTGTTCAATTATTTTGAATTATTATTAATTAATTATTCCTAATCGATTTCATGTGTATTGCTTCCTTTCGTTCCCTTCTTGACGCGATGTGGGAATGTTGGCATGGATCCTATTATTTCGTCAGTATATAATGGGCGTACTGGGAGTCTTTGAGTTTTACGTTTAAAATTTTATATCCAATTTTTGATTTAACACATATGATTTTCAATATTCCTACTATCCTTCCTTCCTAATTAGCATCAAGTTGGGCTAGCCATCGGCGTCGTTGATACGCCCTCTCGGCTTGCGACACACATGGTAGGAGGGAAATGGTGG